ATAATAATGATAATGATGATAATAATAATAATAATAAATACATAAATAAATAAAAAGATTTCCCAGGCTGTTCAAAAGTATCTGGTGGTCCAGATTTAAGCCATAAATTGACTTCTAAGTGACTTTAATCATGTGAATGGTCCCACTGAGATCAAGTAAAGTTATTCATTTACCTAAGAGTTCACAGATCAGGAACCAATTTTCTCTGCTGTTTACTTCCTATCCTGACAATTGTGTTGCTGCTGCTGTTTGTTTTTGAATTATAATTCCTCTTTGTACCAGAGGTGGTCACATTTCTCTGTCAAAGTGATCTCCATATATCCCATGCACACCTCATTGTAATACAATGTGGAATAACTGGTTAATGGTTGTTAAAAATACTTTAAGAATTACCAGGTATGGTGGTGGGTGTAACTGGTAATAGAAAGATATGCAGTTCAGCACAATTTATTGTGGACCTTATGTGCCAAAATATTTATGAAAAATCAGAATTAATATTACTTTCCAGATTTTATTCTGTAAGATTTTTGAGTATTTTATTATACTATATGGTAGTCATGTACCATATACAAAACATTCGTTTGGGTAGCATAACAAGGTGTTCCTGCAAACAAGTAGGCTGCAATCCATGTGTTATCACAGGCCAATTTAATCATAAAACATTTTATGTCTTCTCTTCTGTAAACTGTGTGAATTCCTTTCAGATGTTTTTTATGTATCTTCTTGCCCTTCAAAACAAAATGACAAATTTCCTCTTTCCTTACAAACACACACACACAAACAGGTTCACAATCACCTATTTCCTTTTAAATGCAAACAGTTCTATTTTGGATTTTTCACAGGTCATTAATTTGCTCCTTTAAAAAAAAATCAATGAATCAATGAAAACAGCTCCTTGTCTTTACCCCAGCTACCTCCTTCTTTTGACTTCAATTGCAATAGCTGCCTTCCTCAAATTACATATATTAAAAAGGAGCCATAGCTAACATCTACTTTTATCTTCAAGTAGTTAAGAGATGTTAAATACACTGTTCCTTGCAAATTTTATTAGCTCCCTCCCCCCTTGCAGCACTGGTTTAGCTGATAAGGTAGATTATGCAGTCATAAGAAAAATACACAGTTCTCATGTAAACTAATTGCAAATATGCAGAACATCTCGGACCGCATTATTCTTTTCACTCAAAACTGTTCACTCATTTTCATATCTTCTCTGATTTCTATTATATGAAAAGCAAATGTAGCAAATATCTTGTATTGCATGAAATTAATTATCTCTATATATAAAAAAGTTTTTCTTGCAGGGTGACAGAATGACATCACATTTTCACACCAGAATGACATCATCATGCTTTCACGCTCTCTGGCCAACAAGGAAAAAGTGGCCAGAGAGTAGCAAGCAAGGGCAGAGCTCACTAGGTCAGTGTTTCTCAGTCTTTTTTTTTTTTAAAAAGTACCCCTTTAAAAAAAAAGTACCCCCAGTATCTATAGTTTTCAGACACACAATTTTTTTCTACCATTGCAACACTTTTGTTTAAGCAACTTAATTGTAGCCAGGCAGGCAATGAGATTTTTGGGTGTAAAAAGTACAAAAATAATAAAATGCTGTAAAACTTAGAACAAAAATTCAATTTTCTCCAAATTTCAGTTGTGTTGACATACCATTCAGACTTCTCATAGCACGGATTGAGAAACACTGCACTAGTTCTTATAAAACATACGTTTAGCATTTACACAGGTAAGGCTCTATATGCAGTCCTTTGACTAAACTTCCATTGAACTCAGTGGAAGATTTTCCTGAGCAAGGAGTATAGAACTGAATCTGAATCCATCTGTTTTTATATTTAGGGTGTGCTTGGTTTTATACTAAAAGAATACTCCCTTTGTCTTACTGTCTTTGGGTCTTTTATAAATAGTTACCAATATAAAAATGGGATGTTTAATATTCTAAAGAAAACTGTATAGACAGAGAAACACATTGGCACTGTAGGTGATTTTGGTGGTTTGGTTTTGTTACTCATGCCAGTAGTTCCATTCAAAGTCATGTGGGACTACTACTATAAGGAAGGATTTGCTGGCAATGGCCCACTATTTTTCAAACTACTCTGGCCAGCCCAATTAAACAAGATTAGTTAAGCAAAACAAGGTCATTTTTCTTTTTCACTGTTTGTTCTGAAATCCTCAAACCAAACTCTAAAATCAGTAATATTTATGCATAATTTAAACCAGTCGAATAAATTTGGTCAAGATTTGCACAAAGGGCTTGATCCTTCAAGCCTTTCTTCAAGTCCTACTGGGAAGTCAATGAATGTACTCCTGTGGGAAAGGATTATTCACATGAGTAATGGTTGTAGAATGGGGTCCAAAGTAAATAAGAACGTGTAAACCACAGTCATTGAAATTACAAAGACAAGATAATAGCTGGAGACATGATTTTGCCACTATATTTAAGGTTGGGTTAATGATTAATGTTAGTTCTGGATTATATTAAACAGAAGTTATCAGAGTATATTTCAAACAATACTATAAGATATGTAGCCCAAAGATAAAGAAAAAGGTGTTTGGGATGATTTAATTCCTCTGTTATGTATTTACAAAGCCAAACATCCTTTCCCCTTTTCCCCATTAGGAATTTCCATTTTTTATTTATAGCAGAGTTAATTAAAGCCACTGTTTCTGTATCTGCATTGAACTTCATGATCTTCATTCTGTATCAGTTTAAAGGAGGTCTGAAATGTATAAACACTGGCGTAAGTATGTAAGTTTACAAAGATACCTGAACACCAGCAATTATTTTATGAAAGAAAAAAAGAGAAGAACAAATTTCCTTCTAAACAAGAGGTCAAGGATTTATCAAAGCAGACGTGTAGGAAGAACCCAATAATTACCATATCACAAGTAGCCATGAAACAGTCAATCCCTTGACTGTGGTTTAAAAAGTCCTACTTCCTAAACTTTGTCAAAGCTGGTGGGAGTCTAGCTTCAAAGGGACAGGAAAAGCTGTGATTGTTACATTTAACCCTTCCTCTGGATGTCAGTCGTCAGCACCGATTCCCTCTCCTCTCATCACAAGCAAAGAGCAAAGCAAAAATCTTTGGCACAGAGCGCTCCGTGCAGGCCAAATCAGATGTCTTTTCATACCTAAGATAAAACTTTCACTAACATTTCCCGAGCCACAAGAAGGCCCCAAATGGCTTCTCTGGCCCCGGAGCCAACAATCCCGTGACCCGGACTGATTTATCTACTTCTGTAATTGCTTGTAGGAGGCCAGCAGGCACCAGTCCCCAACCTTCCCCCGGGCTGTCTCAGTGCTGCTCCACTTTTCCAATATACCAGCAGGCAGGAAAACAACTCATGGGGATTTGCAGGCTCAGGCTCCCACTTTCGCTCATGCAAATTCACAGCCAGAGCACTTAATGCACATTACTCTCAATTGAGAGCTTTTCATGCTCCTACACACACACACACACACCCTCCCACCAGCAGCATCCTCCCTGCCACCATCATCCCTCTCCGCCCCCTGCTGCTGACTAGGGGTGCGGATGGGGGCGGAAAGCCCTCGGGTCCCTTCAGATCTAACGCCCTCTGTCTGAAGTAGTCCGGTGGACAAGGGTCTTATCGCCATCTCGGTTCCTTCCCTTCTTATTCCCAACCACTGGGAGTCCTCCCCTCCCCCCTGTATGTTTTCACCCAGGCAGCACTTTTCGGAGGGAGCTCGGAACAAACGCTTCATTGTGCGGTCCGGCCCTGTTAGTTCCTTTTAGACAAACTTTGCCTGGCTCCCCGGGATCTTCACTGTCGGGAGGGGGGCAGGGGTGCGCAGGAGGGCAAGGGCTCAGGGGAAGGAAAGGGCGGGGAGTTTGGTTCCCCCAAGGACCGTGTTGTGGCTCCTTCATACTCGGGTCAATGCGGACAGCTGGCAAGAGAGGAGCGTTCCGAGACTCCCCTCCCTTCAGGCCTGGGTGCAGCGCCTGGCCCCTCTAGCAGGGCAGAAAGAAGCCCGGAGCGGGGGGAGCGAGCGCCTGAGCCGCATCCAGCCCCAATGGAGCTGACAGCAGCGGCAAGAGGGGGCGGGGACCGGCCCCGCCCCAGAGCCGCCCGGAGCCAGCCGACTGGCGCTGCATGGCCCCCGACACATGCACACCCCAGCTAGGAGAGTGGGGAGGGACAGCACCAGAGCCCCTCTCCGGGCAGAGTAACGGCTGGGAGGGGGCGCTCAGCCCGGAGCTCCAGCCCCGTGCTGGCGAACAAAGCCGGGCAATCAGGCAGCAGCGCGCATCCACACCCAGGGACCGGGATGGGCACGGCGGGCGCAGGGCAGAGCGTGGGGGGCTCCAAGCCGGCAGGCGGCTCCTTTGTTCCACCCCCAGCGCCCCTGCCAGTAACTGCAGCCTCGGCACCCGGGCTAAAAAGCAGCGCCAGGGATTGCGCACGTGCAAGGCGCCCACATTGTCCCTACAACAAAGACTCTCCCCCCGCCGGTCGCCCTGCAGCCCTGGGGCGAGCCGCTAAAGGCGGGGGATGGGCGTCCCAGAGCCTGCGCCCGGCCCGGTCCGGCCCGCTTTGGAGCTGTCACACGGGGCGCCCTGCAGCGCAAGTGGCGCGCACGCCCAGCGGCGGGGCAAAGCAGCTCCAGCTCCGCGTCCGCTGCTCACAAGCGGGCGGAGTGAGGCGCGAGAACAAACGCGGTCAGCCCGGTAGCGCGCGAGCCCCCGAGGGGCGCCCCTGTTTCCCTGCGGGCTGAAGTGCCAGGCTGGTCAAAAAGGCAGCCCCCAAACCGCAACCTGACCCGGCAGGGGCAACCGCACAACGTGTGCCTGGACAGGCGGCTCTCCTCCGCCTTGCAGAAGCGCTGCAAACGCTGCCGAGCTAGAAACCAGAAGCCAGCCTTAACCACACACCGAACACGCTCCCCCCGGCCCTGCCAGTGCAAACCAAGAGGAGCCTTCCTTTGCAAGCAACCCAAAGGCTTAGACAGAGATATGGAGAGGGGAGTACCGTACCTTTTCGGTGCATGTATCTGGGCAGCTAGAGGACAGAACTAGCTGATGTAGTGTCCCATTTAGTAATCCATTTAAGGGGATCTCTCTGGGAAACTGGATCCACTCTCTCCTTTGCAATCCTTTGTCATTACTACATGTGTGCTTCTTTGGGGGATGGGATGTTTAATGTTGCTACTTTCTGGAATGCAAATGCAATTTGCTCATTTCCAATGACGGGAGAGAAAAGGGGGAAGAGAAAAAAAAAGGTTTAGCAACAACTCCTCTCCAAACCCAAATTCCACTAGGATTCCACTCCAGGAAGTCTCCTTCAGTCGAATCTTAGGAGGCAAGTCATTTCAGGGTCTTGTCCTGCTCCCTTTCTACCAAAAGTGCGCCAGGTGTAGAGGCTGCTTCAGGAACACTCCTAGGCAGGCGGCACTCAGTGCGCCACGGCAGGAAAGAGCGGTCGCTTTAGCCCAAAGCTCCTGGTCATTGAACTGTGTTTGGAGAGGAGTTCGGAGCAACCTCTCTCCCAGTGCCCTGCCTCTCTTCCCACTGGTAGTCTCCGAGTCCCAACTCTTCTGTCAAAGGAAGGCAGCTTGGTGCGGGCGGAGTCAAATCCCGGACTGGATCTCTCCAGATGGACTCGCTTGATTCCACCCACCCATCCTCTCCAGTCCCTTGCTATACCGAACAAGGATGAGCATGTGCAATGGGTAGAGGATAGGGTGAGGGCATGGCAAGCTTCCAAGTGGATAATCTCCCCTCCCCCTCCCCCCGCTATATGCAAACAAGGAGATAACGAAAGTGAAGAGCTGAAAAAGCGCTTATCCCAAATACTGTATTTATGTACAGTGCATTGTGTTTGCAATCATGACTGGGAATGAAGCAGTGATGAGAGAAGTATTACTGATCCTTGACTTTTTAAAGAGGCAAGGAAGAAGTACTCCAGGAGACGAGATACAAATACAAGAAAGGACTTACTCATCGATTTTCTTAAATGGAAAAGTTTTAAAGGATGAGGGTAAGTGAATTGTTTAGACTTTCTAATTCTGCGAACAGTTCCAGTTCTCACTTCCTAGAGCAATAAGCATCCTACACACAAAGCGAATTGACTACAAGGTATGTAAATATATGTAAAATAACTGTTCAGTACACAGTATTTTTGGACAGTAGTCTTGTACAAATATGTAGGTATAACAGCTCCTTAAAGAAAAAGAGACCAATAAGTTAACAGAACTGCTATGGTAGTCTGAACATTGTGTTTGATATTTTGTATTTACATGTAATGCTATTTTTTTTTAATTTAAATCCTTATTAAAGGAAATGCAGTGCCAATAAAAAAACATGGACTACGTGCACAAGCACATTTGAAGTATTAGATTTATTTTATGCGATGCATGAAAAGAAAGAACCATTCTTCTAAAAATCTTAAATTGCCAAGACCCAACCTCCATCAGTCGCCCACGTTTAAAAAAAAAAAGAAAAGAAAAGAAAAGAAGAGACATTTTTAAAGGAAACTTCCCAAAGGTCAGTACATCCCCGCTCCTCTGGATTCCCAAGGCATATCCTTATTTCTCTTCCATATGTATATGCTTATGTTTACACCAGATTTGATTTGAGTGAGGTAACCATAAACGCTGATGATGCTGGCAATCGAAATTTCCATCGTCGCGATTGTTCTGAGTCCACTAAAACTGTTTCCATGCTAGTAGCAATGTTTCGTTTTAAGATAGTGAGAAGCAGCGAAATAGAAGGGAGATATACTTGTGTACAAAGATCTGCAGAAAAAAAGCTGAAAATATGACAATGAAAAATTCACTCAGGTGGTCTAACTTCTACCTCCGAAACCTAAGTGCCACGGAATAGATTCAATATAGGCATGTATGGTGTGTAAGTACAGTCTGCGTGCGTATAAGATGTTATGATTAAGAACATGCTCGCACACAATAGCTTTACCTAGTGTGAAGGGGATCAGCCCAGAGAAAGCGACGTCTCAGCTCTGACTCTTGCTGTTTTCCTGTGTTCCAGAAGGGGCCGCTGCACTAATTCGCCTGTGCGAACAACACCGTGGATTGATTACATTTGCAAAGTTGCTGCCTGATCCAGCTTCCTTTGAAGGCGACGGCAAAACCACCACAAACTTCAATGGCAGCTTGATCGGACGTTTGAGTTGCGCTAGTATTAGCCCGGCTGGAGCGTCCCTGCCTCCAGTCATGCTAGTATGGATTTACACACGTCTCATGCTTTTCGATTTGTGTGTGCATAGATACACGGACATCTCCCTCCCTAGTTCCCGTACAGGAGACCCATGCTACGTATGTCGCTAGCTACCTCCATACAGTTCCCCATTTTGAAGTATCCCATTCTATTGTGTAACCTAATCGTATATTACTGACATTACCCAGAGGGCACTAATCTGAAGTACCATGATGACATCAATCCGATGGCCTCTAGGGAAATACGGCTGGTCCTGTTTGGCAGATCAGTCCCAGTTTCCTCCCCCCACGCTACCAATCGCAGTTTGCTAGTTGCTGGCTGGGTTAATCCGTCCATGCCTCGATGCCAATCAGTCCAGCGAGGAGCAAGAGCAGAGCTAATAGATTAATCCTCCGGTTTCCCAACCCCCCCTCCCGGGAACCCTGCTCTCTCTGATGCTGCTGCCAGTCAATGCCGCTATTCCGGCGAGTAGCAGCTCTAGCGCCCCCAGGCTCGGGTACCGCGAAGGAACAGAGCCGGAGCAGTCTTTCACTCTTGTCTCCGGCGGTAGCTGCTCCAGCCCTACACTCCGCGGCTGATTTACATGTTAATTGTGTCTGGGAAAACTTCTTTAATTGCCGGAATTAGGCAGAGCAAACGGATTGTTTCACAGGCTGAACCAAATTAATTCCAGGTTTAGCTCCTTCCCTTAGAGAAACAAACAATTAAGCTGTCTTGTTTGCTTTATGGATATCGTTGAAATGTGAGACACGTTGCTTTTCTGGAGAGGGCGGGGTGGGGTTTTCTTTCGCAGGCTGTATCGCTGTTTTGAATATTAATGTTTATTATTTTATTTTAGAGACGTTCAAGGGGCAGGATATTTCTGTTGCTGCTTTTACACACACCAGCCAGTAGTACACTGATTTATAATTGCTTGCTTACCTTTTTCGTAGCCTCTCGCTAAAGAAAGCTGCGCCCTTAGAATTTTCCAAATCGGGCTGCATTACGATCCAATTACACAGTTATCATTTTAAAACCCTTTCGATTATGAGATGAAACTGTAGTGGAAGCCAAGTGTAAATCCGCTGGTTGGGGGCTCTAGTACTCTTTTACTAGTGACTATTTCACAGTAAGGGAAGGAACAGGGGGAATAAGAGGAAAAGACACTCCTTTCCCCTTTTGCCACTTTCAGGCTGTTCCGGTCTTCTCTGACTGCTGCAGCTAAAACCTAGGGGTTCTATGGTCAAAAGCCCGCTGCTCATAGTATTGACGTTCAGAGTGCTCAATCCCACTAGGTTTCCAGTTTGAAACAAAGCACTGTTTGGGATGTGGGAGGGATGAAAACCACTGTGGAATCTCTTTACAGTGAGTGTAATGCAGCTTAGAGAAATCTCCATGTGTTACTCAAGGATCTTAAATCTGGATATGAAACAACCTTTAATGTCCTGGGAAGGAACTAAACTATAACCTGAATTCATTTGGTGGTTAGATCAAAACCACCACCTCTTGTTTTGATCTAACTAGTGTGTGAATGTTTCCTAACAGTACTTTTACTGTATATGTACCCCATGAATAGATTCACAGCACTGCTGTCCTTTCTTTCAACAATAATTCTACTGTACTGCATTGAATCTTTAGCTCCATTCTCTTTTATATCAAATTATTGTTTGGGAAAATTTAAAAAAAAAGATACTGGAGCAGAATAAAAAAAAGTCAGAGACTGGAAAAATCCAGGTCTGTGTTAAAAACAAACAAACAAACAAACAAACCAAAAACAAAAAAAACCCTCTGCATGTTTTGAGGTCTTCAGTCTAGTGGTATGAATCAATGCTTTTGATAGTAATTTCCATTTTTGAGTTCTCAACTGCCCCATATTGCAATAACAGCCTCAAGTAATACATTTCAGAACCAGATAAATTAAATGATGGAGTACAGTTTACAGCTAAGGGATTTACTATTTGGCCATAAGAAGCATGGCATTAAAATAATTACTTCTTTATGACAACTGTTTTTCTGCCTTTTACTTTTAGATAATGAAAGGACTGCTAGAAATTGGCTTTGCTGTGGCATTTATTTTAGGATATAAAGTTACACAAATTCATTCAATTTCTAGCTGTTAGATTACAAGGAAAAAGACTTTTCTGGTATCAAGCATATTTTCTCCCTCCACCCACAACAGTTTAAGTCGAATATATGCTTAGAGTAATTTTCTAACCAAAGAAAGAGACTTTATATATTTAATATATCTTTTCACTGGAAATATAAAGCAAGATAGCTCAGCACCAAGCAGAATCATTTCTGAAGATGGATAAATTTTAACTAAGCAATGTTACCCTAAATCTGAAATTAGAGAAACTGAAGTAGTACAGTACCTATGATTTGGGTATCAAATACAGTGTCAGGGATGAAGCCAGATGAATGGGACATGATTGGTGAGTGCCCTACCCCCATTTCCCTAAAGAGGCACCAGACTGATAGTGCTATTTGTTTAAGTCCAATTCTACACCAGGGAGCAAAGTCGAACTTAAGTATGGAACTCCACCTATGTGAACAGTATAGGTGGAGTCAGCGTGCCTTCCTTTGACTTAGTGGTGTCCCCACTGTGGAAGGTCAACAGGAGAAACTCTTCCATCAACTTCCCTTACTCCTCATGACCCAGTGAAGTACTGAAGTTGATGGGAGCATGATCAGTGGTTGATTTAGTGTTTCCTTACCTACTCAACCAACCCCTGGGAGATCAATCTCTGTAGCATCAGTCTCCTGGTAAATGAAGACAAGGCCTAAGTCACCAGAAATAGAAAAATTGAAATAATATCTCCCTCCCCCTATCCCCACCGATGGAGGCTATCTATTCAACAATATGCAATATTTACATTCAATTCTGTATTACTTGGGCTCCCAAGATTCCATTGACTTCCTTAGAAGTTTGAAAGGGAAGTACAACAAGATCTAGCCTGCACTGTATACTTCATGCTCTTCACTAAAACTTCAGAAATGCTCTCACTCACTCTCCTCTCTTCAGCATAGAAAAGACTCTCAAATGGAGGTGGGTGGAGTATTTTAAACTTATTCTCATGAATGAAGGCCAGATTTTTAGATTTCAAAAGGCTTTGCAAGAAAATGCAGCTGAGAAACCTATTTCCTTATTTACTAAACATTATTATTAGTGAAAAGTTATATCTAAGCTCTTTTGTAAAACTGCTTCCTATCCAACCATTTTCTGTTTCCTTCATTTCCCTACTTCCAATCTGCACTAATGTATTTCTTTCAAATCTCACATTCAAAAAAACTTCCTGCTTCAGCCTCAGAAACTCACCTTTAATTTCCTCTCCCCTTACTCCATTCTCAGCTGACTAGAACCAGTCTGCAAAATTACCTATTTGCATCTTCACTGCTTTAAACTTTTTCCCCTTTTGCTTAACTTTGTCTCTATTTTTGCTCTCTCAATACCCAACCCAGTGAAGCATTTTTTCTCCTTTGTTTCTTCTACCTTTGAGAGCATTGTGCTATTTTTAATAGTGTAACAGCAGCCTTCACACTATTTTGTGGTGGAGTTTGATCTTCTGAAAACTGACACACAAATCCTGTTCACCTTAACAAGTAACTTGCTGGGCCTGTGAACAGGAATATGAGGAGGAGAGGAAGATTTGGACCCTTTAGCCTATTTTATTGTAGGGTAAAAGTACTGGTTAAATTCACAACTTAGGTGCCTAATTGCCACTAAATATGCCTAAATCCCAGCATTAGACCACTAAGGGTACATCTATACAGCAGCATTATTTTGGAAAGACTGACATTATTCCAAAATAATAAAATGCATGTCTACACTACAAGCCTTTATTCCAAAATGGCGGCGAGCTGGAGGACTTCTTACTCCAACTCATGATTACCTTCATTTCACAAGGAGTAAGAGAAGAAGGAAGTGTTCTTCCTTCAACTTCCTGCTGTGTATACAGAGCCAAAAGCTGAGTTGAGCTATTTTGACTTAAGCTATGCATTTGAAGTAGCTGAAGTTGAATAGCTTCATTTGACTTTAGCCCTGCTGTGTAGGCATACCCTTGGATTCACAACCCTCCTGCTCTAGTGCAGAAACCCATGGGTACTCCAACTTGCTCAGCACTTGAATTTTTCTGCAAAAATGTCCTAGGCATTTTACATGAGACATCCAGACATTTAAAACCCAGAGTGATGCATAAACTGGGGGAAGATAGACATTCCTCCATGTAGGACTTAATTCAATAAGTGTACTCAAACCTTGCCTTCTGGATCAGGTCCCCTATAAGCATGCTTTAGACAAAGTGGGAGAAAGGACAAGCTCTTTTTGGCTAGTGGTTAGGATAGTAACCTGGGATGTGGGAGATGCCTAGGTCAAATACCCCCTCCATCTGAGGAGATGGGATTGCGAACCTGGATCTACAACCCCTAAGGTGTGTATCCAAACCACTGGGCTATGAGATATTCTGATGTGGGGCACTCTAAAGTCTCTCTTGTTGAAGCTGTTGCACTGAATAACAGAAGGAGTCACTGGGGTTGGGGACTGGATCCTGGGTCTCCCACCTCCCACAAATCTAAAGAGTCACTGTCACACACAGTCTGTCTCTTGATTTTTTTTAAAAATCCAGAGTTCAACAGTTTTAACAGCTACACTACACCTGTAAGTCAAAATAAGATACATAATTTGAGCTATGAAAATTGTGTATCTTATTTTGAAATTCAGAGCTGTTTACACAGTGCCAAATTTCAAAATAAAACTTCTATTCCAACCCGTCCCAGTAACCATTGTGGAATGAGGGTTACAGGGATGTTGGAATAGCACACCCATTATTTCAAAGTTTATTTTGAAACAATGGACTGGTTCAAAAGATGTGGAATACCTCTGGTATCCTAAAATAGCATTGCAGTCTAGACATACCCCAAGGGAGCCCCACATCAAAACAGAGAAGGAGGGAGTGTGTGTATGTGCGCCAGGACCGGCCCGAGCCTTTCGTGCACCCCGTGAGCGCGGTGCTGCCTCTGGGTGCGTGGAGCTCCCTGCCCAGCCCAGCAGCCCTGCACAGCGCTCCCTACAATGTGGCGCCCGGGCGGTAGCCCAGTTGGCCCGTATCTTGGGCCAGCCCTCATGTGCGCGCACACACAAGCAAGAGAATGACTCTAAAGCATGGTGTTTAGAGCACTGATTTGGGAGACCCAGGCCTGCTCCAATGACTTTTTGAATGCATTATCCACAGTCCCATGGCTTCAACAGGAGAAAGTAAGGCGGGCCCTTATTGGAATAACCCATTGTCCACCTGTTAGGGCATTCAACTGCAAGATGGCAGATCCCTGTTCAAATCCCTTTCCCCTCTTAAATGGACGAGGAACCTGAAATGTGGGTCTCCTATATCCCAGGTAAGTGCTCTAACCACTGGGCCAAAAGTGTTGAGGAAATTCCTAAATACCAAGGTAAAAGGGGACCATTGTGATCATCTAGTCTGACTTTCTGTATAACTTCCCCAAAATAATTCCCACAACGGGTCTTTTAGACATCTAATCTTGATTTTAAAATGGCAAGTAATGAAGAATCCATCATGATCCTTGATAAATTGGGCCAATGGTTAATTGTTCTTGGTATAAAAAATGTGCACATTATTTCCAGTCTGAATTTGCCTAGCTTTAGCTTCTAGCCGCTTGATCATGATGTACTTTTCTTTGCTGCATTGAAGAGCCCATTATTAATATTCGCTTAGAACAGATCCCTATGGCACCCCATTGGAAATGCACCTGCTTCATGGAGGATTCTGTTTGCAGTTATCATTTGAGACCTATTAGCCAGCCAGTTGTTCAACCATTTAACATGTATACCATCTACATGTTTTGTTAGTCTATAGAGTGCTACCAGACCATTTGTTGTTTTTCTGTACAGACTAACTTGGCTACCCCCTGAAGCTTCTGTTAATTTTATGTCACTCCTTTCAAGAATGGTATAGGCACCTAGCTCCAAGGGGGATTCCTGGCTGTGAATTGCTAGCAGAGAGGTGTGGGGCCTAGTAGCTGGCATCTCCCAGTTGCTAGCTTAGGAAGCTCACTGCCTATTAGACTACAACTTGCAAAAGCTAGCATAAGGCACCTCTCCCCATTCATTGTTTAGAAGCCTAACTCAAGCTATTTAATTGCAGTGATTTTCCAGGTGCCATACTTTTGTGCATCCAGGCCAAGATGACATTAAAGTTGCAGAATACAATTATGTTAAAATGCAAGAATAGAACACTGAGCAAAAAGACATCTTAATACAGATATGTTTTCATTCTTTCTAATCTTACAGCAACAAGGAATGCCCAAACTGTATAGAAAGAATGAAAACATCTTACAGCAACAAGGAATGCCCAAACTGTAAATATGATTTCTGTCAAGACAACATTGTTGAATGCTTAGCAAAGTAATTACTCCTACACAGAGAAGATAAGATCCTTCTGTTAATCGCATCAGAGGAATTCTCAAAATTCAGCTGTGTTCCAAGTATGTTTAAAAGCAGCTTGACATTAGATCAATAGAACAGGAAGAAGCAGCTGGGTGAATAGTTAACTTATAGGGGCCTGATCCCAAACTTCTTTCTTGGGCAAGGAATCAATGGACATTTTGACTGAAGAAGGGCTATCAAATGAAGCCCATGATTTAGGGCTATAAGCTTTTGACGTTTCAGATATATTGAAGTGAACTGAAATCAGGGTAAGAGCAGGATGGCCCTGTGCAATATGCTCAGGGGAGTAAACAAAAGAGTTCATAATCCACATCAGGACTTTACTTCATGATATGTCCCCCCTCCTCTAAGAGTCCACAGAGAACCTTGTGCCAACTCCATGCAATTGGGTGTGCACAGCTGTGGGGAATGACAGAAGGGAAACAGGGCCAGGGAACAGCTGTTTTATGCAAGATGCTGCCCTGGTCAACCAGTTGTATTTCTGCCAGGAAAATCAGCAGAAATTCATGCTATTGTAGGACAAACAATAACTGCTCATATGTCATCTGCTTCCCACAGAGGGAGTGGTGCACAGGCCTGGTCAAACTAGGTAGCAGAAGCAGAATTCCCGAGAAAAACCTGGCTGGTGTCAGAAGAGCAGGGTGACTGGCCCCCTATACAGAGACTCCAGGTATGGGGACCACACTAGGGAACAGAGTTCTAGAACTGAACAGATGTTAAACAAGTAGAATTCTATAGCTATTTCATAGCAGAACCCTGTTATATAACACGTATAATTTTGATCCTCATTTGATATAAAGTGTCATTATATTGACATCAGTGCAGCTCCTAAGATGACAGTCTCCATATGGTACTCCTGTTACATGTTATGTTGACCTTTCCTTTCTGGTTTTTATTTTATTTCAGTTCTCTCAGGAATTTATTAGTTACTATGAAAAAATAAGTGAAAAATCTGTGCAAAAATTAACTTCACAGTTGCTTGGATAAATATTGGGAGATGGGAGTGTCAGCCCTCCCCCCCACATGCCTTATAGTTGAGTCCTCCCAGAGTTGAGCTTGTTTAGTGTCTGTGTTGATCTGCAGGGGGGCAGTAACCCCAACTCTGTGCCTTGGCTGGGGGAGCCAGGGAGGGGAGGGGAAGATCAGAGCTTCTGGCTCAGCAGGACAGCGTGGTGGGGAGGGAGCGCCAGATGGCTGGAAGACGGCCATCAGTGGCTTGTTTACCACACCGGGGGACAACCCAAGCTGATTTTTGTGATCCAACCTGTCACAGGGAAGGGAGAAGAAAAACAAATAGAGCAAAGAAAGAATATTGAAAGTAAAACCATGTTAATGCTGGGCTGCTGACTATGCATCTCCTTCTAGGATGGGGGCTTTCCAGCTCTTCCTTTTTCTCTTTGAGCACTGATTGTACACACACATGTTTGTAAGTGCATTTGTGTCTCTTCTACTTAATGCAATTTTAGCTATGTGAAATGTGTTAAAAGTCATCTGGGGCAGTGCAGAAGAACTGTAGGATGTAGTCTGTGTCATGTAGGAGGCCTGTCACATGCTAAGTGTGAGTGTCTTTAAAGAGTTCTCAAAGTGTACAAAGCTGATGTTATAGTTCTACAAGAATCATATGGTTCAGTGAATGAGCAAGCTGCAAGATATTAAATTCAGGGCTATGATCTAATTGCCACTGTGAATTCTGGAACATATGACCTTGCCATCTATACCTGGTATAGTCTTATAGATGTTTATCCTGGAAGAATCCAAAACAACAAGAATCAGACAACTGACCATAACGAATATCAACAAGCCTCCAAATCTTTTTCTTTATCCATCTTTCTTCATCGTGCCATGTACAATGGTGACCTTTATGCTTACCATTCACAACAGGGTTATAGCAGAAATGAGGCAGCCAGTAACAAACTCACAGATTGGGCCTTTTTTTTAATCCCAATCAGGGACTTAGTCAGATGGAACCATGAATACAATTCAGCTCTGTGCATTCTGATGAAAGACAATAGTGGCATTCCTTTGCGTGCTTCACAAACAGTACCACAAAACTTTCAATTAGTGAAACTCCAAAGACAAAATGCAGAATGTTGAATCAACACCAAAATTTCATCACCATTTCCACAAAGTGAACTGGGGTTCATATACTATTGGTGGTACTGAAAACAGGATACTCTATCAAGTTGATCCCAATATACTATGACCACTTTGTTCATTTTCTTATCAAAGCTGTTCTGAAACACATTCTCTGCAGCTATTGCAAGCTTTGCTGACAGCCAGAGATAAGCACTCTTCAAATAGTATGAGAAGAGCAGCGATCCAAACACAGCAAAAGCACTAATAGAGTCATT